CTAAAAGCAAGTGTTTTGCGCCCTGCTTGGGAGAAGGTGTCTAGTCTAAGCCCCGTGACAAAGCACTATTGGGTGCAATGGGGCCAGTTAAAGCCTGCAGATGGTATTCTTGTACGGAGATGGGAAACTACCAATGGGAAAGTGACGACTTGGCAAACAGTTATACCGAGGAAGTTACGGGAAGTTCTGCTGCGTCAATCCCATGATAATTTAACAGGAGGACATCTCGGAATTAGGAAAACATTGAGTCACCTACGACAAAGATTTTATTGGATAGGTATGAGGCGAGATGTGGAAGAATGGTGCCGGACATGCAGTACATGTAGTGCAAAAAGGGGAGCCAAGCATAAAGGATGCCCACCTTATGAAGAGTTGCCTGAGAATGTGTAAGAGTTTGTGAAAGTGTTATCGGAAAGGATGGATGATATCCACCATCAAGTGCCTTCAAACTTGAAAACGTCTGCTGATTCGATGAAGTTAACTTATGATAAGAGATCTACTGAAGTCAGCTTTGAACTAGGAGACAAGGTGTGGTTGTATAATCCCAGGAAGAACAAAGGGAAGTCTCCTAAGTTGTCTTCTCCATGGGAAGGCCCATATGACATGGTGGATCGTCTCTCAGACGTTGTTTTCCGGGTAAAATGTGGTCGGCGAGGTAAGCCAAAAGTTGTGCACGCCAACAGGCTTTGGCGTTATCACGGTCCAGGACATTTCAGTTGGGATGAAGTGGACAACAGAACAAATGACGCTGCAGAAGACGTGCCACCTGAAGAAGCCACCGTCGAAGAAGAAACTCTACTCAGTTTTGAGAAGGGAAACGGTAAAGCTCTTGATGAAGTTACTACCACTGATGTGACTGTTACTGACGATAGGACATTTCCTGATGAAGCAGATGAACCCCACTTGAAGCAGAAGCCAACAGTTCACCTATCTCGTCATGATATTGTCTAATTAAGGTCTTGTAATTTTTAATTAGTTCTTCCTGTAATATCCTAGCTAACTGTAAGATAGCTGTCTCTTGATTTTTCATGTGATTTAATGTCACATTCGCTGAACCTTCTTCACTAAAACTAACATGAGTTTTCACATTCATCGATTTTTCAAACAACACCAACTCTTCTTGTAATCTTATCAGTAATCTAAGTACTGTGGAAATAGTATATCTTCCACAGTTATCCATTTATCACTAGATAATATGAAATTTCCTTCTTCAACAAAGATTACACCTACCTTGTTTTCTACTGACACAATACTCACATTCTGTCCGGTTTCAGTTTTTGTCAGCAACAGTATAAGAATCCTAAAGATATATCCACTAAATAATACTATTAGTTACTTATAAAATATCTAACATTTAAACATATAACAAACATAACAACCATAAGTATATATTGATACGACAGCGGAAGTCACGTGACGGTAGTAACACGTCATTTGCTTCTAGAAATATCCTGTTCCTTCATGAATGCTCTAGCGTTTACTAAATATGTTAGTCTTGTATATATAAGACGATCACAATGTGGCGGAACAATGTATAATTGAACTGAGTA